TCTAGATTTTTGGGTTCAAAATCTGGCCCACTTGGAGTGTGTGTGGGAGCTGGAGAGTTGCTTAGGCTGGAGCTCGTCATGCAGTGGGGACTCAGCTACTCGGTGCTGCTAATCCAAACACTCTGCACCTCCACCGTTATTGTGCAGCGTGGTCGCTCTTGCTCGGCTAATTCCTGTTTAGAGAATTTGACCTAGCACAGCAGTGAAGACGCCTTTAGTTTAAAGCCCTGGCTGTGGGAAGCTTGTCTGTTCTCATAGGCTACTGGAAAACCTGAGGAACACCCCACAACTGGGCTCACCTGGCCTGTGGCAGGTCCCTGTAGCAACTAAGGCATGTTAGGATCCTTTACAATGAAGGCAGCTGTGTGAGATTATTTAAAATAAATCACTCTCCTACTAACATGAGTATGTTTTTTTGATAGGTCAGTGTGGGACCCTGCCAATGCTCAGTCTTGCCGTCCCCCGTGATACTAGTCGCACAGAGGGCTTCCCTATCGGCACAGAAGTGACATACAGGTGCCTTGATGGCTTTGTTAAAATCCCTGGAAAGTCAGACACTGTAGTTTGCCTTTCAAACTATAAGTGGTCAACCATTGGAGAGTTTTGTAATGGTAAGTATTTTATTTTCTCTGGAACAAATTTGCTTGGGCCACCCTTCGCTGATGGAAATGTCAGACTTTTCCCCCACTGAATAGGTCTACTCAAAATTAGCTTTAATGACTAGTTTCAAGTTCCTTGCTGGATCAGTGACAATATACAATTAACCTGCTTATTCAAGAATCTTGTTGCAAAGCAATCTGGGAACATCCATCAGTGAGACGACTTGGGCTTTATTCAGGAATGTGCAGTTTAGATGGACAGGAATGGGAAGTAATTTTATGTTTGTGTTTTGACTCAGAAATAGGTGGGGATGCCTCCATCCTCAGGATGCTCATACAGTTTTGCTGCATCACCAGGCAAATATGAAATAAAGCTGTTTCAGAAATTACTTACCTGCATAGTACCACTTATATGATTAATATTGCATAAAGGTCCCAGCCAATGGGAGCTGAGGGGCGGTGGGGAGCGATGCCTGCAGGAGAGAGCCGGGCGGAGCCATTGGGCACCTCCGCCTAGGAGCCAGACCTGCCGCTGGCCGCTTCCGGGGCACAGCCCGGTCCGCGGCACTAGAACAGGCAGGAAGCCTGCCTTAGCACCCCTGCTGCACCACTGACAGGGAGCCGCCT